TCTGCGCGTGGGACATGATTTTGGACAAGAGTTTCAATTTAAGGGCACGCTCCTTTTTTTTACGTGCATTCATCTTGTGCCCTGGCACACCTTGGCACACCTAAGTATTTGCGCTTATATGTAGCATAGTCTGTTGTGAGATGTGTGATATTGAAATAGTTAGTACAACCATCATAGTGCATTTTGAAGAATAAAAATATTTCTTATTGGGTTATTTATTTTAATTTTTTTAAAAAAAAAAGGTTTAGATAGGAGTATTTAGATAATCTAGGACGTGTTTGGATATAAAATTTTTAACTTTATATCAATTTAACTCATAACTCAATTTCATTATTCTCAATATTATTAATATAATTAAATAATATCAATAAATCATTTTTACACATCACATGAATTTTACGTCACTGCTTATGATTTTCGAGATCAATGTATAAGTTAACATTAACAGTAAAACTACTCTTCGGGAGATCTCACTATAAGAAAATGATGAAATTTCAACGGAAATATATTTCAATAGAATTCCAACGGTAATTCTAATGAAAATTTCAATGCTATTATTTCCGTTGGAATAATTCCAACGAAAATTCCAACAAAAATATTCTGTTGGAATGAGTTTTCCATTGGAATTTCCGTTGGATTTTGACGATTCCAATGATAGATTTTCCAACGGTGGTGAAAATAAAAATTCCAACGAAAATTACATATTCCAACGGAAATTCTTACGGTCAAATGCCGTTGGAAATATAGCCGTTGGAATCATCAAAATCCGCCGAAAATTCCAATGAAAAATATATTCCAACGGAATATTTTTGTTGGAATTTCTGTTGGAATCATTCCAACGGAAACTATACCATTGGAATATCCGTTGGAATTTCCATTGGAATATATTACCATAGGATTTTTCGTTGGAATATGTTTGTCCCATTTTTGTTGCATTTTTCCTTGTTATTTTTTCTTTCTTTTTCCCCCATATTAGGACTTTCAGTTAGTTTTTATCTCGTTTTGTAGTTTATTGCGTGTTTTCCTTCAATTGAGTCTTTAAGTGTTTTTCGTTTGTTTTTCCGGTTGTTTTTGTGTTTTGTCGTTTTCGCTGTGTAGGTCGGGAGCTTCGGGTGAACTTTATCTTCAGGAAAAATTGGTTTTGAGAGCATAATTGGATAGAGGGGTTCGTTAGCGACGCGTAGGAAAAAACGAAACTCAATTCCGAGTTCGGACGAGCCTAAACGAGCCCGAAACATTAAGCCGCGCGCAGCAGCTCAGTTTTCTTCACCGCGGTCGCAGAAGAGAGGAAGTCGTGGCCGCGAACTGCCCGAAAATTCACTTTTCTGGCCTGTGGATGTCGCGGCCTCGGAGATGTTCGCGGCCGCGAGATTTCTTCACCGCGGCCGCGGAGGAGGAAGTCGCGGCCGCGGGAGTCGCGACGAGCAGATTTTTATTTCGGATTTTTGATCAATTTTTCATGACGTTCCACTTAGGTTTGAGTTGGCTCTCGTACTTTTTCACCCCAGAACTCAGTTTTCTCTTATCTTTCACTTGGAATTGATCTTGGATTGTGAAAACACCAAGATTTGACTCGTGGATTTGGATTGTTCGTTGTTCTTTCGACATTGGATTCATATTTAATCGTAAGCTTTCTATTTCATTTTATCTGTGATGATGATGAATTTGATTGATATTGATGTTGATGTTGAATTGATGATGAGTGGCTAAATTCATATGCTAGGGATAGGGGATTGATGTTTTGAAATCGTTTGTGATTGTCGGGCTCAGGTTGTTCAAATTCATACGAGTTAATCTTTTAGTAGGGCTTTTCAATTTTTAGCTTGAGTTTTGAGAATTGTTGAAGAGTGACACTTCAACTTGCAATTGTTTGGATTGAATTCGATAAATTCGTGCTTGATGTTTTTAACTCTTAACGGACTAGTCGATTAACCACCCTCTAGTCTACTTAAATCGACTCTTAGAACCGAAAGGGGAGGAGTCGGTCGAAATAGGCTCGTATGAACTAGGCTTGTTCGTAACTGTATTGCCTAGAAGTTAAATGAATTGTTAATTTGCCGTTCTAGTTTGTTCTCTTGTTACGAAAAGTTATTGAGAATGAGTGCTTGAACGTGTCGATTAGTCAAATCACTTAACCGAACAATCTCTTGCTTGACAATTACATTTTCGAACCAAAACGGATATCCCCGACTCCCTAGCTCCTTAAATCCTACTTGTTCTTCGTTGATTGCTTGCTATTTATATTTGCTTTAATTGAAGTTTTTCGTAGTTGATAATCAAACCAATCTTTTGAATTAGAATGTTTAGGAAATTTATGTCTTTTATTAGTGCTTGAATAAACGTACAGAATATTCCGACTAACCTTCCTCGTGAGACACGACCCGGTATTCGAATCTTTTGATTTTACTCCGGTAAAAATTATTACAACAGAATATAACAATATTTTTGTAGTGTCTAAATGTTAAAATAGTCATACTTTTCTAATATATATGAAATTTTTTTAAATTTGAAATATCATACACTACACAACAAACATAAATAATTAAAATATGATATTTTGTTTGACATTATACGTATGTATTTTAATTATAAGTATATGAAAAGTCGCCTAAAAATTAGTCAATCTAATTACAAACATCAATCTTTGAATTAATTTAAGCGTCTTGCATCAGCACATGTGATGACACAAGGGAAAAACCAAAAAACTCACAATCTTCATAAAGTTGGTATTATTAATAAGGCTAAATTAATCTTTTTTTCTAAATTCCCCTAATGCAAATTTTAACAAATCCATGATTTTGACTTAAATTGAGCCCATATTTTGGGCAGACCGACATTTACACAGTGTTACAAACCAGCTATTGCTACATAGGACATATAATAGGGTTGGCCAAACACTATTCATTCATGGGAAGTTGGACAAATGAGAGCAAAAAAAATCCATTAATATAAACTGTCCACAGTTTATTATTCATGACCTTTGTGTAAAGTGCAATAAAGCCCATAAACACACTTTTCAAAAGTACTGTGTACATCTCTGCTGGTACTAATTTCAATCAAACAAAATGAACTTAAAAAAATAAAAACTTGAATTGATTTGAGTAATTAAAATACAAAACAAAAGCATGTTGTGGGCTGGTGGACAGGCATAAGGAGTAGAGTTTGGTTGGTGGTATTATAGGGGAATGGGATTGTGAATAAATGAAAATTTGGAGGGCCATATTTTATGTTTGTTACATCATGTCAAGAGGTCAAATCAAACTTTTATTTTATTTTATTTTGTTCATTGTCTTGGGCTGATTGGCCTGGAATTCTATCAGACTCTGCCTGGTCCCAGCTGCTTAGATACATACATGCATCCAAAAATTTCAGACAAAATTTTGTAATTGTAGTATGTAGGTAAATATAAAGATATTCTTCATTCAATTGTGTTAGGAACAAAAATTAGGTAGTGATATTATTTTTACAGAGATGCATACTTACAACTAAACTATCATGTCTTATAAACACAATATAAATGAAAATATAATATTTCCCAATAAGTATTCACTTTTGTTACAATTATATTTACCTATTTTCTCTTTTTAGCTATCATGTATTGTAGTTTCTCTCCATTTCTTCTTTTTTGCCTTTAAGGTGTGATTGGATATCAACTCTACTAAAAAAAATCGATTAAAATTAAAGTTTAACTCAATTTTAACACAATTCCACTATCGTTAAAATTGTCAGAATAATTAAATAATATCAATCAAATCCCTCTGTGTTTTATCTTACTTTATTTTAATTTAATTTTTTTATTATTTTTAATTTAATTTAATTTATTTCAAGTTATTATTATTATTAATAATTATTTAATTTATATTAATTTACCTATTAGATTTTTAATTATTTTATTTACTTTATTTTTATATTATGTAATTCATTTCCGTATTATATTATAAATATATGTGTGTTCAATAGTTTACACCACATTCATGTAGCCTAGTGGTTGTGTTGGCATGCTCTTTCTTTGCAACCCGGGTTCCCGAGTCCTATTTCCTACAATATATATAATTAAAGCTTTTGCAATAAAATTCAGGATGGTATAAAGATAAATTAGTAATTCTAAAAATAAAAACATTGAACAAATCTCGGAGATAGAGAAGGTGTCATAAACGCGCGATTAATTTAGACGGAATAGGAGAACCGTGCATCGGTTATTTAACCACAAGAGAGTCTCGTGCATTTTTTAAAATACAGTGGAAAAAATGCGCACATTTCATTAAATACACGTGAGTTTGGTGTAATTTACCCGAAGAAAACCTCCATCCCTTATCCGCCGAGGGTTGTTTGAAGAGGGGGCCTTTGAAAATTAATTATTACATTTTAGAAAGAACAAGTAGTCGCCTGACTTTCCCGCGTTTTATGCTGAACCCATTTTGTTGTGTTCCCAGGGTTTGATAATGATTGATTGATGTATCACTGTTTGTGTCACATTCGCACCATTAGAGTAGTAATTTAGGAGATGAGCTGCTGAAAGAGCTATATACCGACGTCGTTTTACTATTTTGGTGAATGTTTCTCTAGTTGAGGATTTTGATTAGTTGCTGTCCAGAATGAAATAGGAGATTAGACACATTCTCAAATTTGAGTTGCCTATTTAAGCTGTGTTGCACTAAAGGAGCGATTGGATATAAATTTAACTGGTTTTATAGATTAAAGTGAGCTAAAGTGAGTTATTTTAATTAAAGTAGATTGAATGGATAATTTTGAGTTTGAAAATAAATAATATTTAAAATATAATAATTAAAATTGATATGATATAAAAATATGAAAAAAATGTTCTAAAGTTATAGTTAGTTAAAATTATGTGAATCAATAAATAAGCGCATAAGGTGAAATTCACCCGAGATGACACTCCTAAAATAAGACACCACAAAACTGCTTCTCTTATTTTTCCATTTGTTAGAATGGAATTTCTTTCATTTTCGTTAAGATTGGAATCATTCAAAATTGATACACGAAGAGAAAAAGCTACCAAGCATGCACACCAGGCACCAACGGTGAAAAATGAGCTAAAAAACATTTGCACATTGCAAAATGTCCCAATAAGATGCTCAAACTTAATAACATATTCAACACACAAACTCAGATTTGAAATTGAAATTGAAATTGTAGGCCGCATCTCAGAAATGAACACCCAAAATACTCGTTGGACTATATATTTAACAATACAAAAGATATCCACGAGCATGAAAGCCAGAGGCGAGACCAGCAAACGCACAATTTTCTACTTATTTTCGCGAATCAAAAAATTCGAACAGAGATAAATAATACAGGATCTGCTACAGGAAAGAATATCCTCAAACCTAGTCCTGTTTGCATCATGACTTGGACAATTTTAAACAGTGTATTAGACTGATATACGACTCTGTAATCCTCAGCAATTGAATCTGCAAAAAACCTGATATCTAGAATTAATCCGAGAAACGATATGTAAAAAATAATAATAATTACAGCTCGATGATTGAATCTTACCTCATTGATGGATGATACCGCTTGATGACATGTATGTGTACAATATGAGTCTTTTGAGTATAGTCAGTCTTTAACCAATTACAGCAGTTATCTTCTTTGGTGAAAAAGAATCTATTCGCCCAATTCAGAGCCAAAATTTTGTTCAAGGAATTCATCGAGTTGTCCCCAGTTTGGGGGATGATCAGATTTACCCGAACTATCACAAGGTAATGATCTGATGCATCCAAGTAAATGCATAATATCACAGCGAAGACTGCAGAGGGATAGCACAATAGATTGGTTTAGCTAAAGATAATCATACAAACAAATAAATAATTTTATTATCATTATGTTGCATTTTTTTTCTTTCTTACTTTTATTCGTTCTCCAGTGTGTGCAGGTCAACTACCCTTATTAAGTGTGAAGAAATTGAAATGTCATGCATCAAGAGGTTTTAACTCGGGAGATAACATTAAAAGAGATGAAAAACCGGTTGTTAAAGTGTATGACTGGAACAAAATCGATCACTTCAATGGGCATTGCATGAGAATTATCCATTGGCTAATGCTGTAAATGGGTATGGATCAAATTACTCATGAAAACATCCGTATGTATTTATCATAATGACAAAATTTTGCATCCAAAATTTTTCATTGCCCCTCTCAACAGTTATTATAATAGCTGGTTAACTGTACCTGCGTTTAGCTTGTGGAGAGGTCAACTCCAACCGTGAATATGCATCATGAATTTGAGAGTGCATAATTACAACAACTTGCCTGCAGAAGTACATGGCGTAGTGATCAGATAGTCAAACAGATACTAATTTACATTTTACACAATTAACATAGTCAAACAGATACTACTTTACATTTTACACAATTAACATGCAAGCACAGATGTCACGTTGATCCTACCCCAAATTGTGAACATAATGAAAGCCCTCGCTTTTGTCAACTTTTGAGTAGATGGAAAAACTAAGAAAGGTTCTCAAGACAATAATCAGAACCAAGAAATGGAATATGTTCTTAAAGATTTAACCTTTAATCTAAGTTTACCATGGGAATACTAAAGCACAAAAAGGTTGCCGACTGCAAACCAAACTTGTCCGTGCATGGAAACTTATTAAGCAAGCACAAAAACAAATAAAAATAACAGACCACTTGACTACTGGAGATGAGCATTTTACCCAAAAATAGCTTGAACATCCTCTTCAAGTAAGTGTTTGGTTAACGTACGTAGAAGATATCCAACTTCCTGTGCCAATAAGTGAATACAGATGCATCAATGTAATGATAATTTTTATTTGTTATTTTTTCAGAAACATGAAACCAGTTCCGAATATGATCAAATGACAATGGATATTTACCTTGGTAAGTGAGCGAGCAAACTGACTAGGCTGTAAATCATTATCCTCTGACCTATTCCAACCCTCAACAATTTGGGGCAAGCTTCTCAGATGAACCAACAATCGTTCTCTCATTATCTGAACCAGCTTGGAATGAATCTCATCCCGGTGATTTTTGTAATCCTAAAGTCACGAAAAGAATATAACTGTTATAATTTTCCATGAAACAAAAAATTTTCAGTCAAACTGAAAATTGCTTACAGTTGCTACTCGATCGATCTCTGACTGCAAAAGTGGTTTATAGGTCTCCGGAACTTTAAACAAGAGAATTCTCCTAATTTCTTGATACAGCCATTACAAATAATAAGTCAACAGAATGACCTTCAATGACTTTAACCAAAAATAAGAAAAAGAGTGTATAAAGTAACTAAATAAATGCGATCTGAACTCTAAAAAACAACTTTAGTTAGAATGCATATTGAGGTTCTGAAGATAATATCTAGGACAATTTAAGCTTCAGACCATAACAAAAATAGCAAATGAAAGTTGCATATACAGAAAGACAGACACCGAAGGCATACAATAAATATAGAACTAGAAAAATGTAGACAACCATCGCTTCTAGACGGAGTTGTAAACTAGCTTCAGTTGGCACCCCTTAGGATTTTCATTGGCACAATTAAAGTAAATAAATGACCCATCTTGCTTTTGACAATGATGGTTAAATAGAAACCCACTTAAACTTGCAAATGCATGTGATGCAGTAATTTACAACCACTTACCAGGTATGACTGCAAAGGTGAAACTTATCACCTGGCTCGCCATAGCCAAGTGTCTAGCAGTGATTGATCTCAAACCAGACACCTGTAATCAATCAGGGTTAACAAAATACCAACCAAATAACCATATAGCAAATTCAACAGTATAATCCAGTGAAAAAATGAATAAATCAATACAGCAGTTCAAAACCAATCACACATATATTCTACCACACACAATTAGTTTTATCTCACAACTTTAAGGATGGTTGCAGAAATTAATATTACTTCTTATTAAATTGTAACCAGTCTCTGAACTTAATTTACAGGGCAAATGTTCTCTTATTTTCGAAAAATTGACACCAAAGTTTATATAATTTGCAACTAACGATTGCAACCGGACCTACTTTAGAAACCATGGCTCAAAAGTTACATACTCAAAGAACAAAGTCGCACCTGTAAGGCATTCGCTCCAAGGACAAGATGCGCAGTCCTTGAATTAAATAGTTTCAAGATCTCGGCAACACGATGAACCACTTCCGCAGATAGTGTTGGCAAAAAATTACTCATATCTATGTACTCCGACAACATTTTCACCAAATATAAGCCACTGCAACAAAGAAAATAAATAAAAAACCTGTTCTCCAAGGTATAATTGGCATCACGAAGTTAACTGCTCTACATATTTCTGCACACAAAAACTACACAAGCATGGAATAAATAATAATCAAACAGAAATGAAATATGTGCCTTCTTGCAAACTGTTCAAAACTTTAAATAGAGAATCAAGATTGCTGCATCATCAATCAACTCCCAGACTTCATTCACATCAAAATAAAAAGAAACACCAATATGAAGGCAAAATCTAAGTATTCGTGGGGAGCATACCAGTTTACCATGTGATATCCAACTCCTCTAAAATAAAGCATCCGGAGTCCAGACTTTCCACGGTCTTTCACACTGGCATTGTTTCCATGAGAGGACGTACTAACATCAGAACTGCCACTATCAGCTGCAGCTCCAACACGTGATGATTCAGAGTTTGGTATATAATCAGTATTCCCGTTAGAATCAGGCTGTTCAATACTCTGAGACTGATTTGATGGAACAGCATCTATCATGGAGGAACCATCGCTGCTTGGTACCACATCAGAAGTTGATGCAGTGTCCTCGGAAACAGCATTGCTCTCCCCAGCAGCCACAGAATCTGAAGAACACAGTGAATTGACGATAGCTTGAAACTCGTCTGGTACATCTATTTCAGCCCAATTTTCTTGGTCAAGTAGAGCCCGCATCTTAGCCATCTGTAGAAACCAGTACCAAGTTAACCAGTGAGTAATATGAGCCCAGTAAAAAATATGGTCGCTATGGATACTAACTCGAGATTCATGCTGGAATTCAATGAAGGATTTAGCTTGTGATTGTAATGTTCCACGAATGCTGTATCCCAATCTTCCGCCTATCTGTTTGTTCACGATAAGTAAAACATTGAGTATAAAATATAACTACAATAAGCAGAGGCCCTATTAAATGCATCATACAATGAGAGGTAGAACATACCTTCTCTGTTGAACTAATAAATTCCTGGCTAATGTTATAAACACCTAGAAATTCCTGCAACTTCAGTTTTGGGTGAATTTGAGAACGGATTCCAACAATTTTTGCCCACCTTCCATGAGCAGCATCACATGCTGCAAAAAGAGCTTCGGCATTCTCTCTTAAAATATCAGCTCTGTGCAGATCATATGCTCTAATTAGAAAGTCTCCATAACCATTTTAACTAGATTTGTAAATCAAATAATCAGATATCAGAAAATCAACTTCAAGAATATAAACGGTATTCAAGGAGCATTCATGTGATAGAATGCCCATCATGTCAGTACTCAGTAAAAGGACAGGTTCTCAAGTACTAATAATACTACTTGATCCCACAAAGTTATTAACTAAATCCAACTCTGTCATGGTTGTTACATAATGGGAATTGATTGGCATGCCAGATAAAGAAGTGGCTGAAACATTTATCATGTATAATCTCCAAATAGCTTAATTTCACTGCTGAATCAGCAACTCCTAATGAATTGGCTCAAATCTTGCCACCTCTAAATAACTCAGGTAGTGCTGCCTCGATTACCAAACCTGTTCTTTTTTCTCTAAACCCCAGTTTTTCATCATCTTTCAGACCCAAAAACTGTTCCTATCCCAGTCCAAGTTAACACCTAGCTACTGAGTAACGTCAGTTCTGCGCTATGCTATCCGGAATTCATAAGATGCTGGAGAAAGAGAGAATCCAGGTTTCCAAAAAACTATGTATCTATCCACATTATTATATGACACTCCCAAACAAACTACTCGGATTCAAGCTGTTTAACATGCAAAGAAGAAAAGAAAGAGCATTTCACCGGAAATTTCTCGAAAGATTTGTGGTTGCAGTGTCATATCCTCTCCCCTGGATAGAAGTCACTCGAGTAGCATTTTGGGATGAATCTGGTGAAAAGGAACTGGCATGACCATCAGCCTCTTGAGCTGTTTCAGGAGCCGCTGCTCCATGTGCAATGGCAGCAGCAACAGAAGCAGCAGCATAGTGACCATTGAGATTGCCCATGATCCACTCAATTGCTCGTTTAACTTCAGAAGCCCGCAATAAGCGTGTCTGCATTCACTAAAAGAAACGAATCAAGTTATGCCATGGCAGCATTAAGATCAATGAGCAAACTGGGACCATAGATGGAATAAGAAGTCCAGAACACATTTATAAGCAGTCAGTTACATAAGGTGCCATTAGGAAGCCATGGAGTGGCTGAGACAAATAACTTCAGTTGACAGTACAAAATGGAAAAAACATACCGAAAAGGATATAAATATATAGAAATAACAAAACATACCAACATATTCATCAAGTAATATGGTTGCCAAATTTTGACAGTTGAAAAGAAACCCCCTAAATCAGGCCCAGTTAAAAGATATCTAAATTTAGACTGGTGAGAAATATACAGAGATTGATATATCCTGAAGGAATTTCACTAAGTTACTGCATCTGCAAGTATAAGTGACTACTCTTGATGGGGTGACAAAAAAGCATACATTACCTGCACTATCTTGAATATTTCTTCCAAAAGTTTCAAAAAGCTATCAGGTGAAAGACTTTTCAACTTGCTTCCTAGTGATGAGCCTCCACCTGTGTCAGCATAATGGAACCAGGAAATTTACACATTTACATAGCTAGATGGCATTTGATAATAATAATAATAATAATTAAAAAAAAAAAAAACTACATTCAGTGCCAGTCATTATGAATTCTGAACTGGCTGGTAGAACAGGAAAAAAAAATCTGTTTGCAAATGTCATATGAATGCAAAATCTCTTGGTCCAAATAAATCAAATGTTTCACATGCATGTATACCAACCATCAGCATCTGCAATCCCCTCTCCAGATATAGAATCCGAATCGAGTGGCATATTCAAAACCGTCACCTTGACAGATGTCTTTATATCAGATGCAAGTGTATCACGATATAATCTCAATACAGCTGGTAATTTTCCCTGAAAATAAAAGTTCAGTTAAAGATAACCTGTATAAAAAAATAATGAAATTTTACAGAGGAAAATAGCAGCAATGACTGAGGGGGAACTGGTACAACCATTCTCTTATGGGTAGTTATCAACAGAATCGCTACGAAAAAACAATGGATAAAACCAGTTACACAAACTGAAGCTAAAATAGAAAATACCTAGATTGATCAAGAATTTAGGATCACACAAATCGTCATGCACATATTAAAAGTAAAGGCAATGCCTGCCAGTCTGGGCAGGATGACTACTTTAACACACACTTCCACAGAAAAAGAATAGGAATTGTAGATGTATACAAGCCTCCACTGATACCAAATCTAAACAACTACAGATTTGACGAACAAACAAGACAAAGTTATTTGCCTATTACTTTTGACTGCTCTTACTACTTTCGACAGCCAAATGCATGACTGCTGAACACACTCTTAAGAGATCTACAGCAGTCTCCCCATTGTTTAATACATTAACATCTAGAATCATCTTTCATACACCATTAGTTGTGCGTGAGCAAAATAAGTCGACTAAAAAGGATGAATGCACATGAGACACCACCGTTTAGATATCTCAAAGAAAAAAGATATTGATCAATCCAACAAATGAGGAGCACATTAACTCACAGTTCTAAGCAATCCAATGATGAGAGGGAGAAGCTGATCATGAAAATTGGACGTTCTCTCTTCTTCCAGTCTAACCTGTAATNAAGATTACCAAAACAACCAAGTGAATAGTTATGACCACAAATTCATGAGGAAAAAGACACAGGAAAATGCTCACAACATAGAGAGTAGCCAAAATAATAATATGATATAAACAATAAATACAAATTAACAAAATTAGAATACTAGGCATACTTCATCATATCTTCCATTTGAGGTTAAGGTAAGCCCTGATGAATCCATATTTCCAGCATCACGCAGTGATGCACGAATAAATTCTGCTGAAAGAATGCTACAAGAATGAATATGATAAGTCAAAATAGCATGCTAAAAAAATTATGTCGAATTTTACACTTCACTTAAACAGAGTAATACAGCTATTTAAGCATCAACAACATATAACAACAACAGTATAACAGCAAATTGGGGCTAACCTGTTGATTGACTCTACAGAAGATGTTACATGATCACCGAGATGACGAAAACAATGTAAGCCAATCAGTTCATCGCCACCCTATTAAAGAGATGCATCATTTGTGGAGAAAGAAAAATTCAAATTTAGGTGAGGCCTCCACTAGTATAAAGTTCAATGTTCAAATAAACAAGCAAATGTCCAACAATATTTCAAAAAAGGCACCCTAACCCTAGCAAACATAACATAATTTAGACCAAAGAAGAAAATTACAGTCAAATTTGAATTTGATGGATTTCTTACTGAGACTGCAATGATTTTCATAAAAAGAAAAACCGTACGCATTGGTCAAAATGTACGTAGTGTTAATTGAGATTTGATGTGACATATCTCCATTAAGATACTACAGAATAAAAAAATATGCACGTGAATATATCCTGTTAAAAAGCGAATATTAGGAGAATGATACAATAAGCATGAACCAAATGTCAAAGACCATATGTAAAGGTGGATCATTAGCTATGGGCATACCATTATATGCTGCAGGTCATCAATAATGTCAAGAGCTCCAAGACAATCCGCAGATGCAACAAGCTGCAATTTATACGCCGTCAAAATGATAAATCAACAGAGACTTGTGAAATCGCATAGCTATAATGCAAACTAGTGGATATCCTATAACCCCCACTTCCTTGTTGAACATGAAGCTTTTCATCTTGGCATTCTTCACATATTAGACAACTGGGCTTCAATTGGTAATTGCATGAGATTGAAAAGGCTCGTTCAGCAGCAATTCTTTATAAATAAGTGTCACATATACATGGAAAGGAAACACGAGCAAAATAACAAAATCAACCAATCAACCATTGGTTCTCTTGGGTTTCATCTCTAGCCTACCCCAACTTGCTTGGGACTAAAAGGCTATGTTGTTGTTGTTGTAACCAATCAACAGAACAGCAATGTACAAATTACAATGCAACAGTCCACATGCTTTAGTTACATCATGAGTTCACATATGTATAGATTAGAATAGCACTTAATCCTTTAGATTATGTTTACATTTTAAAAGCTGCGTTTCAGGTAAAGAATCCGCAACAACCATGATCCGAGTGACATGCACAAATCATCAATTTTTCATAATGTGATTGACCGAAAGCATCTGTTGTATACTCCACCTCAAATCTACACATCTGTTCTTTTTTAAATCCGGCAGGCATTGAAATACTATCATCCATGAGCATAGAACAGACTTACTAACTGAAGAGTGGAGACGGCCTGATTGACAGACAGCACGAGACGCAACTTGTTCTGCAATCCAAACAGATCCCCCCTCTTCATGCTTAGCTCCTGCACCTTCCTAGCAGAACCCACCAAATCCGAGTCTAGAAGCCTGATTGTCTCCTTCAGCTCCCTAACCCTCCCGCATCCTTGGACAATTTTAGCGCTTAAATCCTCCAACTGCACCTGTGCCTCAAAAAATGAGCTAGACCTTAGTGAAATTTCCCTGACCAAATGCAGCTCCACTACATCCAAATACTGCGACAATCTCTCCTGCAATGCAACATTCTCCGACATTGTCCGGAAGGGGCAAGCCGCTCTGAACGTGGCACCGTCCTCCAACTGGAAATCCTCTTTGAAATACAGCGCGGGGACCTCCCTCAAGCACGCCACCAACGCCTCTCCGGCGGATCCCCCGGAGAAAGGACCGTCCTGACCCTGGTGGTCCCTATCGTGCTGCCTGAGGATGTCCACGAAGCGGGAGTGAGAATCCGAGACGGAGGATACGTACGGCACAAAATCGGATCGGGTAATTTCAGATCCGGGTTTAGGCGGCGGCGGCAGGGGAGCGAACTCGGGTACCGGAACGGCGGCGGAAGAGGACCACCAGCCGACGACGGAGGACGAAGGGTTAGGGTTGTTGAGGATGGAGGAGAAGCTCTGGCTGCTGGCATCTGAGATTGATTTGGACAACGATGATGTCTTATTGTAACCATACGGTCTCTTGGAATTTCCGATCGGAGATTCCGGTGACCTTCCCGGCGATTGGGAAGGCGGCGAATCCATCACTTTTTTTTAAGATCTGCCGCGTGGGTGTGGCGTCCTACAGGTTAAAGCATGCCAAATGAAAAGAAGATTTCACAACCAAATCAATTAGGAATTTGAGGATATTCAATGGAAGGAGTGTAATCTCGATCTTGTAGGTGGAGATCGGAAAAAAATGGAGAAACTTTGAGCAGTGTGTGTAGCATGTTGATGGTCGAACAAGACAAACCGAGAAAAGAGATAAAGAACCGGGATGGACCGGCTTTGGTTGAAGTCCGGACCCGCCATTTTATCTAAGGCGTAATTTATAAAATTCGTTATTTGTCTTAAAAAATTGTGTAATTTGCCCCATGAGTTTATTAAATTGTGTAATATTACTAAGTTTATGAGCGTTTAAACTGAATTCAACTGATCGAAATTTCGGGTTGTCCATCATAAAAAATCGAACATCAAAACAAAATTTGTGATTAAGTTCGGTTTCAAATAAAAAATCAATCAGTTGGATCTGTTCGGTTACCGGTTAGCCGGTATAATGGAGGAATAAAAAAAAAAGTAAAAAAAAAAATCGACAAATTGTGATCTACAAAAATTAAAATAGCTAGATAATTAATAATTTTATCAAATCAAACTAACACGCATTAAAAAAAAAAAAGAATAACTTGTTCAAAAATAGAATCTATCAAGTCTCATACACATGGCACTAGGTGTCCGAACTCTCTAGTCTATCAAGTGTCGTATATGTTCTACCTAGATTGATGCTTTGGGACGACCTGTTTTGCATAGAAACATGTCGCCCACGATGGAAATTGGGTTCACATCATTCTGGACCAAAGATATAAGAGAAGAAGCTCAATAATCCCCATAATAAGAGTCTTGTGTCGATCTACCTACAAACCATAGCGTCAATCTACTAGTTGGCACATTAAACTATCTTTGGCCGATCTATCTATAGTGTGAAATAACAACCGATAAAGCAAGTTAATAAAGCGATCGTCCAATCAATCTCATCATCAAAAGACGAGTTCTTGCATGGGGACATGTGTTATTCCCCTCGCCCTCAGTTGGCACATTGTCATCATTATTTTTCTACTTTTTCTATATATAAACCCGATCCTTAATGGTTCTAAGAAAAACAGTAAGAAAATTCACGATACAACATATACTTTCTTTTCCCTTTAAATTATTCGCATCGATTATTTTATGATGTTTGGCGATCCCTCTTACTTTGCATAATGACTCATTTTTACACTTAAATACCCTAAATAATGTTTGAAATTAATATGTCTTTCTATTATGGTTGACATTTAACGTCTACCAAAAATATATATATATATATATATATATTATAATGTACACACACGATTTAAGATAGGGAGTTTTGTGGGGATGAGCATAATATAGAATTACCGAATTGGTATAAGTGATTGAGTTAAACTTGTATTTTTATTTAGTTTGATTATTAGTGTAGGAAAAAAATGGGCTTAGGCTAACTAGTGGGCTTTTAGGGAAAATGTGTTTTAAGAAGAAAGTTAAAACCCTAAGATTCATTCCAAAAAAAGATATTATAATTTTGTACGTTTATTAAATAATACATACGTAGAAACATCTCTAATTGTGTACAAGACAAAGTATATATACATGTATATATATAATCACATATAAATTTTGCAAGTGACAGAAACATTTGTGCAAATCACATAAAAAACAGTTATTGAACAAGATATTATAAATATATGTATGAATAAAAAGACTACTTTAATGAATTAATACCATAAAAGATGACATAATAAAAAAAAATATGAAACNAAAAAAAAAAAAAATTAAAAACCTTCAACTGCACGAAATCGTCGCTGTCTTTCAAAATATGCTTCCCCTTAACATCCTTACCAACCAAACAAGATTTAGAAGACCCCAACACAACCTTACATCTCCCTCGAACAACGAAATCCTTAAACTCGTTATTCTTTTTGTAATTCTTTGAAACTACCTCAGAGTTGACCTTTCCTCTCATCTTTTGTTTTGGATTCAACTCCTCTTCCTCACTATCAGACACAAAATCCGAATGAAATTCCTTATCGGATAAAGATTCAAACTGATATTATACATAAATTTACAAAGTTCGATAAAATGATATCTTATCTACGCCCAAGTCCATTTTTTAGCCCATTGATACAAAAGAATCTAGAAGAATATACAAAAGCTCGAGAAAATTACTCCTTGTGTCTAATTTTGTTAATTATTTATATTTATACACTACATAATTCTTAATTATGCTTTATATCATTTTTGTATGTCTTTTACCTTTATGTTTACTTTTTTACGTGTTATTGGACGGGTCGGTTTGTTTTAGCGGTTCCCAAGTCAGTTTTTTAGCGTTCTCGAGAAAGAAGTTATTGAATCTATTTCTTCATATTTTCACGTCTCTTCGTCTTCCTTTCCTCTCTTCAGATTTTTTCTCTTTTTTTTTTTTGTTGTTCTTCCTTTCGTCTTCATCTTTTTCTTTTGTCCTATTTCAACTTTTTATGTGCAATTTTTATTTCTTATTCTCCTTCATTTAACTATGGTTAGAACCAGGTCTTCTGTTGAAAAAATGAGACAAGTTCGGATTTACAAACCTAAATTGAAAAGTGATTTTGTCGATTTAATTGAAGATGTGGATTTTTTGGGCGACGACAGTGATGGAAGATGCAAGAAGAACCGGAGGTTTCGAGAGGGTGCAGTTCAAAGTTCTAAGCCGTCTGGGAAAACTAAATCGTTGAATCTTTATTTGATAAGGAATATCATTCGGATTTTGTGTCTGATAGTGAGGAAGAGGAGTTGAATCCAAAACAGAAGATGAGAGGAAAGGTTAACTCTGAGGTAGTTTCAAAGAAATACAAAAAAAATAACGAGTTTAAGGAATTCATTGTTCGGGTGAGATGTAAGGCTGTGTTGGGGTCTTCTAAATCTGGTCTGGTTGGTAAGAATGTCAACATCTCCATTTCTTCNAATCTTACATGGCACGGAAAGGTCTTGTGTGGCAGCCTAATTTTTCCACATCATATGCCAAGAGGATTTGAACCCCAAAATCCTAAAATCCAATGAGGTAAAAGTAATAATGAGAACATATTTGAGCAAAACACGTGAAGCGTGCACCCCCCCTCTTCTCTCTCTAGATCTCCTTCGAGCTTTATCTGCTTCTTGTTGCTCCATCGGTACAAGTTGAAGAGGTGTAAGAGTGATACAATAGAAGATCCCGAAGGTAATCAAAACATCGACGAACCACGACCCGAAGGCCGAGATCCGTCGACCCCGACCGGCCGGACCGATTGCCACGACGCGCCGATCCCGCTGACGGCCAGCCCGCGACGACCGGCGACCGCCCAAGCCACACGACAGATCGCGACAACACGACCGGCCCCGCCATCCGTTCGTGATCTCGGGCTCCACCGTGTGCTGTTCCCGGTCATCCCGAATCCGACAGATTCAGAAAATTTTAATCCGTAAGTTCTCTACGTCAAAACCTTTAGATCCGTTGCGCATAGGTTTACGTTTCCTATTGAATTCGTGACTTGTACATAACGAGATCCTCATAAATCCCAATAGGAGAGATTTGGTGAGAATGGTAGAAATATTAGAATTAAAAACGCGAATTAAAAGGGGAAGGGGTAGACGTAAGAAAACTTAGAAATAGACAAAAATGATTTAAAATATTTAAATTTGAATGAGGATATGTATTTTGATCGAGCACAATAGAGACATGTGATTTATATAACCAACCCCATTTAATGGAATTTTAACAACTTGTTGATTGATAGATTGATTTATATTTATCAAATATTGATTTATCATTTATCTACCCCATCACAATTAATTATTATTTTTGTAACAAATTATTTTACAATAGAGAAAATACAATTCTTCCATCAACTTCGGAGGAAGATATATTAGTTTGAGATTTTGAGTGATATTTTATTCACTTATTTTTTATAAGTTTGTAAGACTTTCATATTTAAGATGAATTATTTGTAATATTAAGTCTAGAGGTTGGATTGACTTGAGATTTCATATAAGTCCATACAAATTGTTTGTGAAATCACAGTAAGTCTTATAAAATCCATACAAATTAAAGAGATGAATAAATTGCAAAACTCATGACCTTTTAACATTTTTTAAAATCTCAAATGATAATCTCTGAATATTTTAAAAGTTAAAAAATCAAATTAAATATACAAAAAGTCTTAAAATATCACATAGCATTTAATGAAATTTTGAATTAATACACCACTTTATTTCCCGATATCAATTTTTTTTCTCATTTGTTAAAGAAAAAAAATAATTTTCAAATTTCAGATTCTTGGATATAATATGTTTTGATTTTGTTTGAATTTTTTGATTTGGTACGATTTTGAAAAAATTGGTATAGTTAGTAATTAATAGGATTTTAAGTTTTTATTAAAATAAAATAATTAAAGTTGATTTGATACAAAAGTAGGAGAGATAATGCGAAATGATGATTAGTTAAAATTTATTATTAAAGTTAATGTGTAAGAATGAATGAGCGATATTATTTTAACAATATTGAATATATTGTAGTTGAGTTAAAATTGAGTTATATCTGAATTAAAAAAATAATTGATTAAAAATAATTGNTGGGCGATTTAGACTTTTGCTCAATGAATTACAACGGCTAGTCATATGATAGCCGTTTGATAGCAATAAAGTAAAAAACAAAAGCACGTTCCTCGAGGCAAATAGTCTCCTTCCTCCACTTTCACCAGTCTCAGAATGCGAGCAATCAAGAAAATCTGTTAATCAAGATCTCCCCTAATTTTTTTCTCAATTCCATTTTTAGGGTTTCCTTTGCTGGGTATCTCAAAATCTGGGACAGCTTTTACAGCCAAAAAAAGAAAAAATAAAAATGAACCTCAACATCTTCAAGAAGAAAACTTCCCCTAAAGGTAATTCGAGTTATCTTCGAAAAAAAATGATCTTTTTTTTTTCCGAATTTTAGAATTTTCTATGTGCTGTTTAGGTTGAGATTCACATAATTGATCAGCATAATTTTTATTACCATCCTGCCTGCTTTTTTCTTGCAGATGCACTGAGAGCCAGCAAAAGGGAAATGACAGTTGCCACGAGAGGTATCTTCTTACAGCTTGCTGGGTTTCTTAGTTGTTATACTTTTGAGTTCTAAAATGTCCAGGCAGAAAAAGGCAGTTGATTTGATATTTGCCGAACGTTATTGAGATTTGATTCAAGTGAAGTACAGAGGTGTAAGGGAACTTGTCTGAGATTCCTAATATATTGAATTTGGGTTAATCGGCTAATGTCGATGATGAAAGAATCTTAATGAAGTACTACTTCAGAACGTTCATTTACTCTGCTTAACTAGTGAAACACTAGATTTGGGCAAATTTCAATCACAATTTCGATTGTGATGGATAAATTTGGGTTCTTTTGGAATCCCAAGGGTTTGGTTTTCTGGCATTCCATGTTTTGCAGAACTGCTAATCAATTATTTCCAAGTGTTAGATGTTATGTTGTCCCACATCGATTAGTTATCTGGCTGTTGTGTATGTATAACTGCTGGCACCCTTTCTCACTTTAAGCTAGCTTGGATAGAGTGTTATATTTTTTGTTGTCCCACATTGATTAGTTATTGGGCTGTTATTATGTGTAAGTGTAGTTTGGACACTCTTTCCCTTTGAGTTAGCTTTTGGGGATGAGTTCTACTCATCCCAAATTATCACCAAGAAAGGAAGTTCTATTCTTATTGAGGGATGGTTCAATGGAAGGGGAAAAAATGAAGAAAAGAGAAAGGCAAAACTCAATTTGGGACATAACTTGAATAACTATATATGATTTTTATTCTTTAAGGGACACGTAAGACTACACTTGATGGAAACAAGCAGTTGGCCTAAAGTGCATTCTTATGGCATAGCACAGAGATTTATTCACATTTATCACACAAGCACTACATTTGGGAGGAACTCATTGACCCTCAGTGGTGTGCTTGTAGATATTGAACTCTACTGGTGACACTTGGGCCTTCAAAGATCATTACCTTTATGCTGATTTCTGCTTGAATTTTCATTTTGCTTTTTGCTCCATTGATTTTGTTTTGCTTCAGGCATTGAGCGTGAGATTGCATCTTTACAAATGGAGGTATGTTTATTTTTCGCTTGCCTCTATCTTTCCCATCTGCTTTCTCGTGATGATTATCAGTAATGAAAAAATTATCTGCAAATTTTAGGAGAGGAAATTAGTGGCAGAGATCAAGCAAACAGCCAAAACAGGAAATGAGGTGTCTTGCTTTATTTATTATTTATCATCATTTGCTTTTCTTGATTCTACTTAAAAGTTCATGTTGTATGCTAAATTACAAATTTACAGGCTGCCACGAAGATCTTAGCTCGTCAATTAGTTCGCCTCAGACAGCAAATTACAAATTTGCAGGGCAGTCGAGCCCAGATCAGAGGCGTAGCAACTCATACACAGGTGTCAGATTCATGTTCACATGTTAAAATTAATATCCTATAACAATTATTTTCACATGTTAAAATTAATAACCTATAACTCAGCATTTTTGTTGACAATATTATAGGCCTTGTACGCAAGCACTTCCATTTCGACTGGTATGAAAGGTGCAACCAAAGCTATGACTGCTATGAACAAGGTTCGGTCATAAAAAATCATATATTTTTTTTTTCCAAAAATGATAAATAATATTACCTCCTTTCGGTTCATTTTAATTAGTGCTCTCTTGTTCAGCAAATGGAACCAGCAAAACAAACTAAAATGATCAAAGACTTTCAGAAACAGTCTGCTCAGATGGACATGACGGTAAAAATCTAGCTCTCTTTTAAATTGGCTCCTTAATGGGGTTTTTGATTATTGTGAAAATAATTAATTAACACCCATTTGTTCAGATCGAGATGATGTCTGATGCAATTGATGAGACACTAGACAAGGATGAGGCTGAAGAAGAAACTGAAGATCTCACTAATCAGGTTTGCCTACTACTTACTCCCATTAAGAAAGCCTATAGATTTTTAACACGATCTTTACTTTTTGTCTTGTTTTTGTTCCATTTTTAGGTGCTTGATGAGATTGGTGTTGACATAGCATCGCAGGTTAGTTTTGATTTCTGTATTTCGAAGCTTAAAAAAAAGCCTTAAATTCTGCTAGTACTATTAACTATTGCTATTGGCTGTTCAGATTAGAATTGAAAAAAAGTTGACAAATGTTACTAATTCTGATGTCATTTTTTTTTTCTAGTTATCTTCGGCTCCAAAAGGGCGGATTGCATCGAAGAAAGTTGAAAATGCTGCACCAAGGTATATCTCTCTCTCATTGGCTGTTAATTCTTCAAAAGTTTCCTCACCACACAATCAAATTTTCCGTGTATTATTGTCTTGAAATAAAATATAATAATTGCTTAACAGTCGAAGATACAAAGAATGTGTGTAATTTAGTGTGGTGTGTGGTATTTGATGATTTATTGTGTGATTTTTTTTTTCTTTCACAGTGCTCCTAATGCAGCTACTGATGTCGAAGACCTCGAAAAAAGGCTGGCCTCTTTGCGACGCGTTTGAGCTTCGTAAAATCAATGCCAATTTACATGTATATTGTATCAGTTCTTACCCATAAATTCCAAAGATGTAATAATGTTCTTAAGTATATCACAATAGAGATTAATTACTAGTGAAAATATTTTCAAGACTCAATACTGTGTTTTTATGTACTTTCATTTCTCGTACTACTGTCTTGAGTAGGATGTATTTGAGAAAATGCAGATATGATTGATAATGTGGAATCTTCTTACAAGCTTCAAATATGTGTGTGTGTTTTTCTTGAATGCTTACATCATTAAATCACTGTAATGATTCGAATATTATCTTTTATGATTAGCTAAGCCAAGTCTATTCCGTACTACAACATGCAATAAATACCTAAGTGAAATTCACCAACACATTTTTGTAAATCTAGAAACCAAGAATGAAGTTGATTAAATGCAAAATAAGAATTTTTATATATATAAAAAAAGAACGTTTTCTGAGTATTCAATTACACAATAATGTTAAGGAGCCAACTATTGGCTTCGTTATGAAGCCAACAATTGATTCCTTAGCATTAATGATCAATTACATTCTGGATACATTCTAAATCAATCAATTGAAATTTTAAGCCAAATCACACGCAATGAGTGGAACGAAAAGGTTTTATTAATGTAGGGGTGAGCAAAACATTCCTAAAATTGAAATATTGAATCTAATCTACAGTTAGTGTGGTGGTCGATTCAATTATTTTAATGTAGAAAATTATTGATTTGGTTTTCGATTAGTATTTCTATTTGTTGTGGATCTATGGATCTTCGACACGGGCCAGCTCGCAAACTTCGTATAAGACCTCAAGCCTTGACTTCATCCGAGGCCGAAGGTATCTACACACGCTCGATTATTTCGGGCCAGACAAGTTCTTAGGATTCGCCCTCTCATGTCGCATAACCATCAATGTTAAATATGTCTTCTCCTGAGCAATTGCACTGGCGTACTGGTTCAGAAAAAAGCTCGAGAAATCTCAAAGTCCTTCACCAACCCCGTGGGAAGCTGGTGGAACCAGTTTTGAACTCCTCCCCTCAAGGTGGCTAGGAAAGCTCGACAACAAAACGTATCCGAGTAACCATGCAATACTGCCATACTTTCAAACGACCTCACGTGTCTTGACTGATTTGTTGAGCCATCATACGTCAAACTGACCTCCCAGAAATTCGGTGGTAACACAACATCGAGGATCTCCTGAGAAAAGGGATGCCCTCAAGCTCAACCCACTGCCTTTCCGTCGACCTTGACTGGTAGTTGGCAGATATGCTCTGCCATCCTCTCCACTGCTTGATCTTTGTATGCACCCGAGTTCCGGCTGCTTGACTCGTCCATCTTCGTCTCCTGCCTGTTCGTTCCCACTATCGTGGTAGGTGCAATGGTTGCCTGGGACGTCTGGTGAGTAACCTGTTGGGCTGCTCCAGCTGCAACGATGTTGGCTATCATCCTCTCGAGCTCTACTCTGAACATCGTGACCAGCTGCCCCTGCTTGGCCTCCCTTCTGGGTGGCCCCATCACCTGGGCCACCGCTCTCTCAAGCTGCGTCTGAACTAGATCTGCGACCTCCTGGGTGGTTCGGTCCTCTAGCGGGTTGCTTAGCCCTGCAACTGCAACTAGGACTACCGATGACTCCCTAAGCCCGTAGGATAAGGCGTCGGGGTCACAATATGAGAAGGAATTCTACAAGGTTTTGTAAGAGCAAATGTGAAGTTGAACTCCATCGCCCTTAGGTCTAACTCAAAGAAATTGTAAACAAGCATCAATATGTTTGGAGAAGCCTGGTAGTGGGCCTGCTCCGAACGGACGCGTGCTCGGCCACAAATCGTCAAAGTTTTGCTTAGTTTTTTTTTTGAATCTTGCTCGCCATTGATGAAGAGGATTCGGTGGTTTTTGAACAGATTCCCACCGACAGCGCCAATGGTATAAAAAACCCTCGACCGGCTTAGATTCGGCCTGATATGAGCTTCTCACCGGTAGATCGTCCTTAAGACCTGCAAAAACTCCACACTAGAGGGGTTCCCCAGTGAAGAGCCTCTAATATTTCAGTTAGCATAGTGAAGAAGACCATGTGTTGTATGTTAGTGTATAGAGAATGTAATTGATGAAGGGCATACCTCACTCCTTTTATAGGAAAGTGTTACTTCGTTGCCCAAGACTGCCTGAGTGAGCTGCCCGGACTGCTCGAACAACCCGTCTGTAAGGGTCGACCTGCCAGAACTGTCCAATTATGTTAGGCCATGTGACCCTACCCACGTGTGGTCCTTATCCTATTAATATTCATTCTTATTCATTAGTCTTTCTTATTAGACTGCCTAATCGTGCGACCGACTCGAATCCTGTTGAGGTAGAATGTTGTGCTTACGAAGCTTACGTGTTGTCTTTCTGGTCGATCACATGACCAACCATTCCTTCTGGTCGAGTTTCCATTAGGCCATCCGAGGACCTTACCTCGACATGTAGTTTCTTGTTTAAACCCCATTGCGTCTTCTTCGACTTGAAGACTCTTCTGTCTGTACTAGCGCTCGACCTCTGTTCGACCTTCCTGCGGCTCTGCTTGACCAATCGATTCATTTGGCTTGGTCCGCCGATTTATTAGGCTTGCTCTACCTGGTGTGGTATCCCATATTATCCTCTATTTATAGAAGGGGATGCCTATGAAATATTATATCTTTAGGACGCGTGTCGTCCTCTAATTAGTTGCATGGTGACACGTATTAGGAAACTTGTCCCACTTGGGCAAGTGGCTTATCTAGTTCAGGCTAGTAACTCCTTTCACATTAGCTCAAGGTTGAGCTCGGCTGGACTGAGATTGACAACGAGGAGGGGTATTGCTTTTGGTAGAGGTCGGCATGTATATGCCGTAGCTAGGAACAAGGTCGGTATTTTTGGAGAAGTCTTCAAGGTAGGTGCCCTTCATCTTGGCAGAGGTTCTTCTTGATATCGTCGCTCTGGGGGTATAATTTCGTAATGATGGCATCATAATTGTCTTAATGGTGATCTCGATTGAGGTCGACAAAAATCATGTATCAACACATTCAATTGCGATCTAATTTCCTAAATTAGAAAATGTTCAAAATATATAATAACAATAGAAAATATAAAAAATAAACGTTAGTAGAACCCTTATGAAAAATGTGAATGAAGTTTTAGAATCTGAAAACTAAAATCCCTCTAAAGACCCTTAAAGAAGAAAAGAATATCCACTATCAACCCTAATAAATTAATTAGAAAAGTATTTGTGAAGGAAAAGGGATTAAGGTGGTGATTTGAAAATTGATTTGAGAGCATAATGAGCATGTTTGTTTATGGAAATTTTTTATTTTGTTTAGATTTTTTGGTTTGGTTTGGTTAAATTTCAAAAAAGTGGTATGGTTAGTTGTTAGTGAGTATATTAAAATAATCTTTAAAATAAAATAATTAAAATTGATTTGATGTAAAAGTAGGAGAGAGATGATTGAAGTGATGATTAGTTAAAATAATGTGAGTAGATGAATAGTAAATTAAAGTTGATGTGGTGTGTGTGTGAATGATTGATTGATATTATTTAATAATATTAATAATATTAATGATAGTGGAGTTGAGTTAAATTTGAGTTAAAAAAAATAGTTGAGTTAAAATGTTGAAATTTTTTTGAAAAATTTTCATAAACAAACATGTATGTTTTGCAACACCAAAAATAAAATAAAACAGTAATGCTATTATTAGCCATGCTTAACGATCAACATTCATACTTTTGCAATAAATTAATTTTTTTCAAACTGAAATGTGATACTCTAAAACACAATATAAATAAAAGTATGATAAGTATCGATCCGACTAACAATTAGATCGTCTTACACAAGAATATATGTGAACAAGGTTAATTCTTCTAGTCTTGCCCGACCGAATTTCGCAATGAAAATGATAATGCCTTTGCCAGTTTGCCCTTTAATTAGTTACGTTTGTGAAATGACAAAAGAAAGCAAAAAAAAGTTCAATCTGAAAAAAGCATTCAAAAGGTGCATGCCTGTGGGAAAGATTATTGGAGAAGATTGAGGGCCATCGGGCATGAAATACGGGTGCGGGCTCCGCATGCATGCTAATTAATATACCACTTATTTCTTGTTATTTATCATATCATTTTATATATCTCAATTATTATTAAACTTATATATATATATAATATTTTATTTTGGAAATTAACCATACTTTTAGTATCACATTTGGTATAAACATTGTCGGCAGTCAGCATATGAAATGATGAAGAAAGACTATTTTGGTTACTATATTTTGCATTCAACGGTTTGAATTCCAAGGCAAGATTTGTTAAAAGAAGATTTGGAATGACTTTGAAATCTAAGGAAAAAGGGAAAAGAGCACAATGGTTGAGAGAAAAAGGCAAAGGAGCACAGTAATAATAAATCTTAGTATACAAGTAGTTTTGAATATTAATATTAATTTTTATTATTTTTTTTTATAATATATAATTTATATGTATATTTTACCAATTATAAAACAGTTGACATTCTTAGAGTTCCTGTTTAAAATTAAGGAACATGAAAATTAAAATTATTCAAACAATATTGATAAATATATCTCACAAAAATATCTTGCTACAATATATTATTTCGATTCCTAAATAAATGATGGTAAAGATAAAAAAAATTATACTCCCTCCTATTTATAATAAGTGTCGTTTTGAGAAATTTTACAATAATTAAGAATATTTTTTTGACAATAATAACCTTCATTAATGAAGATAGAGATGAATGTTTGAGAAAAGATGAAGAATGAATATGAAAAGACATAGTGTATTTATTAGCTAAATGAGGATAATAATGGAAAAACATGTAAAAAAATTCAAAACGACATTTATTTGGTTAATGGTTGATAAAGCCAAAATAACATTTAAAAAGAATAGGAGGTAATATTAAATATTAATTTGACACTTAATTTAAAAAGAATCAAGTAAATATTAAGTTAAATTTATATACTAATTTTTAATTACGTGTTTGACATAATTATTATTTTTTTTATATTAAATATTTAAATTTTGTTTCTAATCAAATAACTCACATGTCAGCTTGACATCAGTTGATTTATTATTACAACTTATAGCAATATACATTACGAATATTTTAATTATTTTTTCAAGCCAATAATTTATATCGTTGTTCGAAAAATGCCTTGTTACACATATTTTGATTTTTCTTTCGAAGCTATAATGTACACGACAACTCAACATATGATGTTGGTTTATCATAATTTATTACAACACATATCATAAATAATCTTATTTTTTGTAATCTACATTTACTCGAAAGTTCGAGAAATATTTTTTAGCGTTAATTTCTTAAACTTGTGTGGAAAAAATATATCAGTTACTATTTTAAATTATTTGATACCAAATATATTTATGATATATATATTTAATATTATATTTTATGAATAACTTTAGGCTAACTTATTATTTTTTAATTACTTTTAAATAATAAATTGAAGTTCGTTTTAAACATAAAATATTAACTAATTAACATATTAGTACTTTATAAATAATTATTTTTTAATTATATTTAGAATATAAGAGTGAAATGTAAAATCATAAGATGAAGGCTAATTTAATATTGTATATAAAACATAAAAATGTTATTGAGTATTTTGTAAGGAAACGGCATGAATATTTAATAAGAAAAATGATAAAGAAAAATAAATAGACAGAGATAAGGAAGCTAGATAGGAAAAAAAATCATAGTTAGAAATTTTCTCATCTAGGCATTTCAAGAAATATTTTACAATCTCTTTTATAATTTATAAATAATTATCCTTAAACATTAATCTATAATCATATCCCTTAATTGATGGAGAAATTTTTAAAAGTTTAATCAATAGATTTAGATCAAATTACTGATATCCCAATACTTAAAATAAAATTAAAAGTTGGATGTAAAATTATATCATAAGAAAATCGAAATAAATAAATAAATAAATATTTGAAAAATCTTATTGTTTATTAATAATAACTATTGTGGCGGAAAATCGTATTATTTAAAGTTAATAAAAACATTTATGTATATATATACCAAAGTAATATAGATAGTGACCCAAAAAATTTGAAAAAAGAAATATCATTTTCAAAATTTTAAATTCAAATTCATGTATAATTATAATTCTGTCTTGTGTGTCTATTAGTTGATGCAGATAATTGGTAGCTGATTGTATTAGATTTTTCGAATCACCTCTTCCCACAATGCTGCTTTTTTGAAATTTTTCAAAATTTGTATTTTGAGACAAAAAATCTCATAAAACAAACGCGTCACCAAACAAACAAATTACATGATTTGATTGGTCAGTAATATGCAATTTTAGCACCAATCCATAAACAAACATACGAGGATAAAATGGAATTAGCAACAAATTATAAGCACGTCAGATCCATATAGGTGCGGTATTAGTTAGATCATAGATGATGGTGGGATATTAATCTAATATAACTAAAATTATTTAAATTGATTGTGCACATCACCTTTTTGATTTATAATGTATTAGAATATAATACCATTTGTGAGTTGTCCCACATCGTTTATACAGAAAAAATATGTCTAACTTATAAGTCTAGTGAACTGCTCTTTATATTATCAATTATGCTTCATCTGCATGGGACCGCACCCGTTTTACTCCCGTTTCTTATTTCCAAACAAAAAAAGTGCTCAAGTTGCAATCTTTTTATGCATGGCAATAAGTAAATTAAAATCAATTCTTGACATCTATAAAATGGCTAAATTTCTCCTTTGCTTCATAAGGCTCTTCACTATAGAGCTTCTCTCTTCATTCTATGTGTGAATATGAAGATATTTTTTTCTAGTTAACATAGGTGGAATTAAAGTGGGAAAGGTTTTATATGAGATATGCCTGGCTCCCTGTATGCCACCCGGCAACTTCAATCCGGCCAGTGGATTGGCGGAGGCGGGCGGCGTACGAGGAGCCAAGCATGCCGTTGACCACCATAGTCAACCACTTTCCTGCCATATTCCACCTCGATTCTTTAATTTCCGGCAGATCATGTATGTTACATATATGATTTATGTACTCTCTCTCTCTCTTTTTCCTTTCTTTCATTTTTTTTTTTTTTTTGGTTGCATT